TTGGAGGCTCATTCATGAAGAAATCATTTGGATTGTCATTCCTCAGACTGATTAGTGGCTCACTAAACAGTCATACTGGGATTTCAGTATTTCACTCATTTCCTTGTTGTCATCTGTGTAAGTACCATCCTGTCTGAATAAAGGCCCGATACTAGATGTGGCATTTGCCTTGTTTTTAGCATGTGTAAAGAAATATTTTGAATTTCTTTCAATTTCACTAATAGCTTTAAGTTCTTCCTGTCTCTCTTGGTTCCTGTAAGAGTCCTTTAACTTAAGTTCGATAGTTTCCACTTCCCTGGTCATTGCTTCCTTCCGTGTATCAGATATTCCAGGGTTCCTGAGGAGCACAGTGATTCTTCGTCATCTTCTGTAGAGGGAGTGTCTTTCTCTCTCCAGTTTACTTCTGCTCTTCTTCTTTCTTAGGGGAATATGCCTAGAACATGCTTCAGCTGCCAGGAAGTTGATCCTTTCACGGCACTGGTTTGGATCCATGTTATTTAAGATACCTTCCCAACATGTTTCATTTAAGACATGGTTTACCTGGTCCCAGTTGATGTTCTTGTTGTTGAAACTGTATTTTGCGAAGACACCTTCACTGTTACATGCATTTTGCTGATCAGGACCCCTGTGCATTTAAGTCTGGACTTCGATTAGATTGTGATCGGAATTAGTTGTTTTTGATATTATGTCTCTTACCAGGTCCTCATTATTTGTGAAGAGAAGGTCAAGTGTGTTATCTAGTCTTGTTGGCTCCACTATCTGCTGGCTTAAGATGTGTTTATCGCAGAGACTTAGTAGCTCATGTCTGTGTGACCTTTCATCTGCTACCTCCAGGGGTTGTTTCTGCTATAACATTATTTGCTACATTCTTCCATTTTGTATGCCTTAGGTTGAAATCATCAAGCAGTAAGATGTTTGGGAATGGAGCTGGAAGGCTTTCCAGACAGTAATCAATTTTCAGTAGCTGTTCCTTGAACTGCTGGGAGGTTGCATCTGGTGGTTCATATACAACCACGATGACAAGGTTTTGGTCCTCTATCTTTATTGATAGAACTAAAACTACATCATTTGTGGTGTTCAGCAACTCTGTGCAGATGAGTGACTCTTTGACACACAAGCCAACCCCCACTTGTTTCCTGTTCTTTCTGTTGCATCTAAAAAGGTTGTAACCACTTACCCATATTTCACTGTCAAAGTGATCTTTTGTGTGGGTCTCTGTGAAGGCTGCAAACATTGCATTAGACTCCTCTAGAAATCCACTGATAAAAGGTATTTTATTGTTGGTGGATGACTTAAGGCCCTGTATATTAGCAAATATAAACGAGGTTGTATTCTGTTTGTTGGGGGATTTTGTTATTGGCATCAGTAGTTGTAGTTCTGGAGGGCCATGGGTGGCCACTGGCTGCACCTCCAGTCCAACAAGGCTCCAAGATGGTGGACTATTTTTATTTCCTTCCATTTTCTTTTTCCATTTCCTGCCACTAAAAAATCACCTGGAGTTGGGTTGTCGTAGCTACTATTGCGATCAATCCTGCAAAATCATCTATCACATCATCAAAATCAATTATGTCAACTGACCCATTTTCTATGGATAACTTTGCTAAGTCAAAGATTCTGGATTGACTCATTGTGGACTGTAAATAGTTTTTAATCAGTTTCAACTTCGAGAAACTCCTTTCACAAGAAGCCATAGAAATACATATAGTAAGTAACAACCTCAGGCAGTGTGTGAAAGTTGGAAGAGATTCAATGAAATCCCATTCAGCTATCAATGTTAGTGCATCCAATGCAGTCTAGTGCTTAACTTTTTCAAGATCAACATCAGCAGCTTGTAGGTGCCTATGTAGTCTTCAAATTTCAAGCATGAGCTCATTCTTGCATATTTCATTATAGAAGGCAGAGAGCCTTGAAACCATCACCTCCAATTCCTCTTCAGTAGCTTGCACAAGATTCTTTGTTTGAATGACCCCAAACATGGCTGCCATATCCCTGATTGCTTATGATTGCATCTCAAGTTCATTATGAAAATGATCAATGCACTCCAACATCACCCTCTTGTTTTCTTCTTGCAGAGTGAGTCTGGAATCTCTTGCCTGCTCCCCAGCCATCCTTTTCTTTAACCTGATTCTTCTCTCTGTTGGAAATCCATACTCCTCACATCAGTGATGCGTGATCATAGGATGCCAGGTGGATTAAGGGTTTCTCCAAAATAGCATAAATAAAATTATCGATTTATTGTAGTTTTTCCTAGAGCGTCACTGATTTTCCATATACAGTGGACCCTCAATTAACAACATTAATCCGTTCCAGAGAGCTCGTCTTTAACCGATTCTGTCATTATCCGAGTTAATTTTCCCCACAATAAATAATGGAAATCCAGGTAATCTGTTCCAGACACCCAAAAGTATTAAACAAAATATTTTTTTTTTACATGAAATATACATTTCCCTACAAAGAAAACAATGAGACATGCACAATAAGTATATAAATAAATGTTAAAATGACACTTACCTTTACTGAAGAGTATTGATGAGTGATGAGACACTGTTTTTCTTGAACACTCTGGGATTTTCAGAGTGATACATGAGTAAAGGCTTCACTTTGCAATCCCCACTAGCATTACAACAAAACATGAGTTAGCCTGTCTTTCATAGGCTTGTGTCCTAGGAGTGACTTTTCCTCCTGAGTAATGTAGGTCCTGTCTGGCATTTTCTTTCAGAACAGGCCTGTTTTATCACAAACGAACACTTGTTGGGGTTCGGAATTTTTCAGCTTCGCCATGCCTTATCACATTGTGTATGCCACTACAATTCATAAATCTCTCAAACCAACCTTTGCTGGCCTTAAATTCACCAATACAAGCACTAGTTCCAGGTATTTTTTCCTGTTCACCTGGGTGGGTATTAGTCAACTGGTGTGGGTCGCATCCTGGGGGACAAGATTAACCCTTTCAGGGTTGGTGCCACACTAGTACGGCTTGCACGCCAGGGTTGGTGCCGTACTAGTACGCCTAAATTCTAGTGCCTTCAAATCTAGAAAGAGAAAGCTGGTAGGCCTACATATGAAAGAATGGGTCTATGTGGTCAGTGTGCACAGTATAAAATAAATCCTGCAGCAAACAGCACATAATGAGAAAAAAACTTAAACCTTGTTTTTGCTTTAAAACAGCAACTTTGCAGCATATTTTCAAATGCAATTTATGGGTGTATTCTAGTTTTTCTGGTCTCATTTTATAGAATGGAAGACATATTACAAAAATTGAGATGATTTTGATTGGTTTCACAATGAAAAGTACCTTGAAATTTAGCTCAAAGTAGCAGAAATGTTCGATTTTTGCCAAAGTTCAAAAGTAAGCAAATTATGCCACGCGTCCAATACATGTCAACTGGCAAATCTAATATTCTTTCACAAGTGTGCTGATATTATTTATACCATTTCTACACTAATGCAGTAGTCTGCGTAACAGTAAATCTTCAATTTTTTTGTAATCATAAAAATTCAAAGAGGAAAGCAAAAGAAATGTAAGAGAGGCCTGAGGACGTGACTAATGAGCAGAGAAAATGTTATCTTAGTGCCAGGAATGTCTGTCTAGTTTATTCTGGACCCTATTTGAAAATTAGCATCTTTTAAAATTTGTGTGAAATTGGCAAAACTGCCAATTTCTGACTACTTTACTGGATAGTTGAGATCAGTAAATGGGTGGCTTCTTGTACTCATTCGATAGAAAAAATGGAGTTCTAGCGAAATAGTTATGATTCTTGTCGACTGGTACATTGGAATTGGCCAAAAATAGAGCTCAAAGTGGGCGAAATCGCTGATGTGTAAATATCGTCAAGACCGCTAACTTCGTGAGAGCATAATTCCCTAAGTTTTCCATCAAATTTCATACTTTTGGTGTCATTATGATCGGGAAAAGATTCTCTATCATTTCATAAGAATCCCCCCCCCCCCGAAAATTTCCGACCCTGAGAACAAGTTTAAGAGAGGGCCTGCCGACCCTGAAAGGGTTAAGGACCCTAATGGAAATAAGTTAGACAGTCCTCAATGATGCACCGACTTTCTTGGGTTATCCTGGGTGGCTAACCCTCTGGGGTTAACTGTTTTTGGGATAACTGTTTCTCATTGATCCACACCAACAACAGTCTCTCCACATCTTCGAGTAGTATTTGCGATCTCTGTTTTGTAAGCATATTTGCACCATTCACAACAACAGCTTCCTTGATTGCCTTTTTGTTGGCCAAGACAGTAGCGATGGTTGTATGAGGTTTGTTATACAACCTGGCCAGCTCGGAGACATGCACTCCACTTTCATATTTTGCGATGATGTCTTTATTGAATTCAACAGTATTTCTCACTCTCTTTACCACAGGGCTGGCACTAGAAGCTTTCGTTGGGCCCATGGTGGCTTATTTAGCAGTTACAAGCACTAAAAACAATGGAATACAAACTGTACAGCATGTATGCATGGAATCGTCCTCACTGGCTTGTAAACAATGGCACACTGGTTGTACATGGAGTGGCAGGGCCGCTCAGGCCACATGGACATGTTCAAGACGAATGACTTTAACCAAGTTCTTTGTCATTAACTGAGCCAACATTTTGACACAAAAACATGTCGTTATCCAGTTTTTACATTATCCGACGACGTTAACTGAGGGTGCACTGTACGTATAGGCTTATTTGTACTCTGTAATCATATAATAGGCTATCACACACGATCACCATCACACACGATCACTATCACATATGATCACCATCACACACTAAAGAACAGTATTGACAAAAACCATTAACTCTTATTTAACAAATATTAAAAACAGCCATGAGTGATAAACAAAAATAACATTTTATAGAAAATATGTAAAGGGAATTTCTGAAGACTTCCAAAATACATTTTAAAATAAATCTTAAAATAAAGCTTAAAAGTAAACAATAAGAAAATCCCTGCCAGGAATACTTAAAATACTGTATACTGTACATTTGCAGACATGTTAACTGACCATCTTCTGAAGACTGTGTGAGGAACTTTTCTCCAGTAAAGTAACCTTTCTGAAGATCCAGGGAGGTGCTCCACACTGGCTCCACTTTCTCCTCTAAGGTAACATCTGCAGCACTTAACCTCAGCAACATCACTGATGAAGTCAATGCTTCCACAAGCATGAAAACCTGGAAAAATACAAAAAAAAATCCTTTACAAATACCATTAAAAAAAAAAAAAAAAAAAAAAAAAAAAAAAATTCAGAATTGCTTAGTTAAAGCCATCCAAATGATTCTTACGCCTCTAATATAGTTCAAGTAGAGTTAATAAAAAAAAAAATTAATCCTACTCAAGCAGAAAAAAGAATTTGGGTCAAAAAATTTCCCATCTGGGGTTCTTTTATTATTTATTTATTTTTTTATTTTTTAAAAATTTGAGCCACTCAGAGGTAAAACAAATCAGGTAAGACTATCCCAAAGCCACTTATACTATCTGCATTAGGGCGGGCTTAAAATAAATTAAAGATTAACTAAGAAATGATGAAATCAGTGATAAAACATTAATGAAAAACAGGTTACTATAAAGCACAAGTGAGTTTACAAAGACAGGTGTATTCTGTTGGTAGTGTTTTAAAAAAATCGGTTTTAGTTTGGGTTTTGGGTTTCATTTATGTGATAAAATTGTGAGAAACATTTAAGATATACAATTTAAAAGGGTTCAGTTATTCAGTATTTTTTTGGTTTTGGGGTGAGTAAGTGTCTTTGAGAGAGATTGAATTTTAAACAGGTAGTGTTTCTTTTAATTTACAGGTAAAAAATTTCCCAGTTTTTAGGGCCCTTTTTTATGTGCATTGAGTTTTTACTAGTGTGAGTGGAACGGGAACATCAAAGAGTGATCTGTGCCTTGTGTTATGGTCATGTGTTCTGTTGGGGTTGGCAAGGAGATGTTTGAGGGGGGGTTAAACAGATTTAAAGTGTTTTTATGAAAATAGGTGCAGTAGTAAGTATGGATGTTTTTTTGGTGAGGGGGTTTTAGTGTTTTGAATTTTGGGGAGGTGGGCCTATGTGAGAATTTTTATATTTAACTGCAGCTTTTTGGGGTAATTTGGTCTGAGATGATTACTTGTTGTTGAGCCCATGCACAAATTCCTAGGTGAGTGGGGGGAAAATAAGAGAGTATATGGGGCCGGGGGAGGGCTGACTGGAGCATAGACCGTATCTTCGTGTATGCCTCATTTTTGGGAAATTTTCTTAGAAATTTGTTGTATATGTGTATAAAATTTTGAGTCTATTATAAAGGTAGTTCCAAAATTTTTCCCTCTTTAGTTTGTGATAGGTGATCCGTTTATCATTATGTTAAGGGGGACATCTGTAGCTCTGTTACAAATAAATGAAGTAGTTTTGTAAAGTTTGTGCAATTTTTGTTAGTTCTCATCCAGGTAGATTTTTCTGAAATTCTTTTATTTACGTATTGGCTAGCGTGCGGGGCTCGGGTGGGAGAAGATATTTTTGTTCATCTGCAAAAGTGTGGGTTTGGTAATTGGAGTTTTGGGGTAGGTATTTATGTAAGGGAAAGAAAAGGGGGGCCAAGGCACTTCCCTGGGGGACCCCCAACTGAAATTTGGGTTGTCGAGGAGTTTCCCCATTTTGCTAAAAATTTTGGTTTCCCGTTGCTGAGGTATGCTTGGGTTTTTTGGGGGAGTGCCCTTTAACCATAGGTGAAAATTTTTTACGGGAGCAAGTAGGGTCAACTGTATAAAAAGCTTTACAAGTCAATAAAGACCCCCAGGGGACTTCTTTTTTCTTTTTGCAGTGTATATATTTTTCTAGCATGTGTATAATGCATCTTAGTTTTTTTATTAGGCCTGAACCCAAATTGGCAGGGGTTGAGTATTTTTTTGGGGAGATAAGGAGGAAATTCGTTTTTTAATTTTAAATTTTTCAAAGATTTTGAGGAGGGTGTAATTTGGATATTGGCCTATATTATTCAACTCTGTTTGGTCCCTCCTTTGGATCGGGTGACCCTTGCTTTTTGAGACTGTGGGGAAGGTGGAGGTTTAATGGTTTTGTTAAAGAGTTTTGCAAGTTTGGTGATAGCACTTGTGACACTTTTTTTTTATAAAAGGGTGGTAAGTATTTAAATCTCCTGCCTTTTTTTTTAGTGTTTGATAAAAAGGGGAGACTTTTTGGGTTTAGTCGGGCTGGGAAACTGTTTTGGGTATTTGCCGGTGATAGTCATTTGGGGGGGTATCTGAGCTTGGGTTTTTTTTGGGAAAAGGTTTTTTTCCCTATGTGGAGAAGAAGTCTTTGGTTTGTTTGTGTTTTTTGGTGGGTTTTGGGGTTCATCTGATTTTGCTAATTTTATTTCGCTTTTTCGTGATATTTTTTTGTTCCTAGAATTTTGTGGGTTTTCCATTTTTTTTTTTCCCTGTAATTTGGAAAATTTTCTCATAATACATTTTTTCCCCTTTTTATCAGCGGTTAGGATTGAGAGAAAAGTTTTTTTTGGTTTTGGGTTTATGTGACCCATTCTGTATTTTTTTTCATATTGGTGTTTTGTATTTAGGATTTGGAAAATGTGGGTGCTAGCCAGGGAATGTTCATCTCTTAGCTTCATCTTTTTTAGTTTTTTGGGGCAGTGCTTTTTAAAAATTTTGGGGTCTTTTTTAAAAAATTTTTTAATACATTCGTAAATATCTGTAAGATTTCTAGCTCAGTGTCCCAGTCAATGTTGCTATGCTGTTTGAAGTTATTAATGGCCCCTCATTGTGAAGTCTGAAGGTGATTTTAGTAGTTTTTGGGGGTAATTTCCCAAAGAGTTTTATGGGGAAAGTGGGGTAGTGACTGGGGTTTTTATCTGTAATTATCCTGTTTTTAAAGGGAATGGTTTTGGTCCAGATGTGGTCAAGTAGGGAAACACAGTCTCAACTCTGGGGTTTTTTTTACGTTGGTAGCAACATACATTTAACCTTTGGGTTTGTGAATTCATAAGTGGGGGCCCTGGTCTTGCAGGAATTTATTTTTTGAAGTCACCTGGGTATAAGTGATCTTTGTTCTGCATGCATCATTATCATACCCTAGGTTTTGACTAAATTGGCTAATGTTTGACTTGGAATCTGTAGATGTTTATCAATGGAGGGGTTTTTGAGGTATTGGATTTGAATTTGGTATTATATATTCCCCCATGTTCACCCTTTGAAAGTATTAGGATACATTCTGTTGGTTGATAGTAATGGCTGTCCCACCCCCTTGTTGGTTTGGCCACAGTTTGTGTATGGCTGTGTAACCAGGAATGGCATAGACACTGTTTATAGGGTTTAGCCCGGTTTTAGTTTGTGTAATGATGGACATTTGGCATGTAAGGAAATTTTGTAAGCATAGGGCATGTTTAAAGCTTGCTTAAAGATCTGATATTGTAGTTAAAGATAGTTATGTTGTTGTTGGACTGAGAAGTGCCTTTGATTTTTGCAGTGTGTAAATTTCAGTAACTGTTTGTTCATTTAAACATTAAAAAAGAGAATGGTATCAGGATCAATGCTTGAAAACTAAGTTTTTTAGGAATCTAAGTTAGAATTAAGTATAAAACAAGTAAATAGTCTTAAACAAAAAAAAGCACCTGAATTATTTAACAAATGTAAAATAATAGCTAAGTAGTTTTTTTTTTTTTTTTTTTTTTTTTAAGCTAAAAAAAGGAGACAATATAAAAGGGATAAAACAAATATAGGATGATCAAATAATGGAGCTTGGGGAAAATGATAGTAGGTGTACTATAAGGTAAAATTTTTTAAAGTTAATTAAGTATAAAAAAATAATATAAAAGGGGCTAATTAAGTTGTGGTGAACAAAAAGTGTAATCAAATAAGATTAGAATATAAAGGCAAAAATGTGAACTTATTCTACTTTTCACCTGAAATGACTTTTTATTTTAAAAAATTGTGAAATTTTAAACTAGGGAGTTATATAAAGCTAAATTTGGAGGGAAAAAATATAAAGGGGCTAAAATTAAGTAATGGAAACAAAGTTAAATGGGCAGGTAAGAATAATGAAATTATTAATTTGGAGTAAGATTTGACTTTAGTTTAAAAAATTTTTGGGAATTAATACAGTAAGAAAGAAGTAAGAGTTTGGAGGTAGTTGGCATTAGCTAGGATGAAAAATAATAAAAAAATTTTGCACAATATAAATAACGTACAATATGTACCCCACGTTATAGTATTAAGGGGACTTTTTAATTGACAGAAAAAGTCACTTTTTTAAGGAAGGTAGAGAAAACGTGTTCATTTAGATGGTATATTTTTGTCCTGTTGATGTTTTCCCTTTCTAGATTTTTTCCCACTCGGTAAACACTGGTGTATTTTTTTTTTCCTGTTTAAGTTTTCTCACCTGAACAGAAGGTTTTTCTTTTTTTGTTGCACTATTTTTGACACTCCCTTTTTTTATTTTAATTGCTGATTTAATTGGTCTTTTTTTTATCGTATGAATGAAGTCTGATCATTATACTGTGTTTCTTCCTTTTTCCTAACAAAAGTGTTTCTTTGATTCATTTTTTGCCGATGACTTTTACGGGGTTTTGTATTATCCTGATAGCAGTTTCTTTTCACTGTGCTTGTGTTATGTACTAGGGAAAGTGTGGACTGTTTTTAAAAGCATCAGACAAATTTATTGTTCAGTTTTTCGTCTTGGAAATCAAGGGGATTCATTTTGTCGAGTGGCATGTTCTGATTCCGTCCCTTTATGCTTTTTCAACCTCATATTTATTGTTGTTATTTGCTCAGTGTGACGGCTTTAAAACTGCTTTTAGAGTATTTTTTGTGTCAACACTTCCCCATGTAATCTTCTCTTAAGGTTTTTGGGTTTATTTCGAGGTTGATTATCTTGGTTCTGTCGCTCGAGTGTTGCTTTTATATTTTGATTTCATTTTTAGAGAAACGATGTAGTCCTTGATATTTTTAGGAATAACATACCTGAGTTATCAGGTGAAACCTTTTTAAGGGAGTGGAGTTGGAGGGGGGGGGTCACCATGTTTGTTTTTGTTGTTGTTGTTCTTGGGTGGCGGCGGTGAGGGGGGTTGATGATACCCGGCGTCCCGGGGTAAAAGTTGGGGTTCTAGGGGCCTTTTTGTTTTTCTTTTATACTGTGTTGTTTCTTCTGCGATATCCTTTCTGATCACTGAAATAGATACGTTAGAA